TTGCCCAGTCAGATGAGGTTAGACAAGCTCAAGGAAGATGCCATTAATATCGAAGTATAAACCAGATCTTTTCAGTGAAGTGTCCCCACTCCCTCCCTTGCAACACAAGCAATCTTTTTAATGGTTTCTTATAGATGTGCAGAGTTACTGACAGGTATGACAGGACAAACACCCTCTCTTTGTGGTCATGACAAACCTTAATTTTAAGTTGCGTGTAGCACACAGAGGTGGTACTCCTCTTGGCTGAGTGATGATGCCCTCAGCACAGCAATCTGCACCTGCATGGGGCGGGTAGGCTGCTATTAAACTCTGAGATCAGCACAGTTGGTGGCGTCTAGGGGACTATCCATTTCATTCTAAAGAAGTCACCTATAGAGTATGAATCATACCCTAAATCTTGATGACAACTGTGGAAGTGTAGACACTTTGCTGACATGTAGGCATCCTCATTGTAAATGTCTGAAGTTTGGTAAACTGAATCCAACCGTCACTTGTTTTACACAGTCTTCAGATTGCACAGTGGTCACTACCACACAGAGCACCACTGAGAATGTACAGAGTGACTGTGGGACTTGTTTGTCATAAACATTTATTGATCTTTGACTTGAAATGGAATTGTCATTTTCTTTGAGCTATTTTGTCTCTCTCATTCCTTCTCCTCCAACATGCACACACACACAAACCACGTGCACACACAGAGAAAATTAAAGCTATAGTAGACATCGGCCTTAGGGCTAAGCTAATGTTCCTTGCATACAAAGCCATTATGGAAATAGAAATGGAAAATTTCAATGAGCCACCATCAGCAGCAACCAGCTCATACTCAAATCTTTCTAACTTGTTGAAAACAAGTCTAATCAAAAATAACCTGGAACACTTTTGGACTTGTTGGGAATACTTATGGGTGTGGCTGCAATATGTTTAATCTCTGGGCTAGGGAGACTTTTTCATGCTGCAACTTTGCCTGGACAGATTCATTTTAATTCAGCACAAAGTCCATTAAAGACATTTACAATGGACAATAAAAGTGCATGAATATACTGCAAGAAAACGTATCTCTGAATTTAACAATGTGTCATCAAACACATCACTGATGCTAAATGTCTCAGCTATATAAACACTGAATAAAGATTCTGCAGTATCTTCAATAGCTGCATCACACACAAATCATTTGCTTTGTAGTGTACAGGTCTGGAAGGGAAATTTTCCCAGAAAACTGAAATGTACTGGCAATAAGACTCAGCAGTCTTGTTTCAGCCTCTCTATACTGTTTTGTTAGGAATCACACATATTTAGAGAGATGAAAAAAGAAAAAAGAAAAAAAAAAGTGCATGATAGTGTTTGTGTGCATCCTGCTTTCTGAACTCCTGGAATAATAAATAAATAAAGCAACTGATGTGGAGGTGAACCCTGCCTCTCTGCATGATGCGTCCCCACCCCTTCCGGCTGGGATGACTCCTTTGCTAAGCCTCTCCTCCTCACCTCCCAATCCCAAAGTCTGCAGAAGAGTTGAAGAGCACCTGGAAACTGGATGGGCAGCAGCAGGAGCAAAACTGCCAGCAGAACTGGTTTTCTTCTTTTTGTGTTTAGAGAAATCTAGCTGGTATCTCACTGAGCAGAAGAAGCGAGCTGGGCTGAAGCAGGATCCTGTACTCCAGGTATGTGATGGCAAACTGGTCCACAAAGACTGAGTTGGCAGTGGAGAAAAGCTAACTACTTTTAACTGTGTGAAAAGGGAGAAATCTGAAACTGCTAGGCAATTAGATATAGCTCTTTGTAAAGGCACAGAACATTCAGCAAAACCAACTCCTTTAAAAAGAGGCTTTCATTTCAGTAATGCACAAAGACAAGTGTTAGGGAGCAGATAAGGTGAAGATGAAGGGTGTCAAATTTAGGAAAGGCTGGACTTCATTTTGAGCCCTTGATGCAAGCTGTAGTACAGCAACAGTGGAGAGGACACTGATAACCATTTTATGTTCATCAGTAGCAAGATCGCATTAAAGGGCCATAATAATTTCTTTTGCCTTTATGGTGATGAAATTCCATTCTTTCTCTTGTTAGGTCCACTGGAGCACTTATCATTAAAATAAATTACTGCAGTAGTTTAAAATGCTGTCACTGGATCCAGGAAAAGGGCAGAGATGTCACATCTTGGCATCACTAGTCCAACATCCTGCCAAACATCACAGTGCATTGAGATCACATGCTCATACTCACTTTCTGAGAAGCAGGGAATATCCTTAGGATTGTTTGCCCATTTTACCTGATTGATTTTTAAAGATTTTTAGCCTTGCCTTCTTGGTAGAGATTTGGTTTTTGCTATTGAAAAATTAAGACTTGGCATGATTTAACCATGTGATTTGCTGTTCCCTAAAAATGTAGTAGTCTGCATCTGTCCTACCACCCAAGGGAGAGCCCACCTTTGCCTTGTGATAATAGTAAATTACTCTCCTCAGTTTTTATGTTATTTGCACAAAAGCTGAATGGTATCAAGACAACCAAGGAAGAGCAGGACCACTGGTGTGAAGAAAAAGCTACTAGAAGGCCTTCTCTTAATAAGCAGGAGGATGACAGCAGACTCATGGATATCAGAGCAGGCAGCTCTGTTCCCATTCCTCACTTCCCACCATGCTCTGCATCTCCTCAGTGATGCTGAAGCTCAGAGGAGCGGGATGCTGCCTGCTTGGAACAGTGCCATGGGGAAAGCAGGAAAAGGAAAAGTATAATGGCTGAAACTGGTGGGAAGAGGGAATGAGGTGAGGCAGGAGAGGCAGGAAATATCCTGGCTTGTTGCTTCGCCACACCATGTTGCGTGGGACAAAGTGGGTGGCAACAAATAAAGCTGCTGACTGAACAGGATCCCATCAAAGACTTCTAAGCAGTTCAGGTGTGGCTGACTATTTACTAACGTTCTCCGCAGCCTGGTGCCTGGAGAAGAGCCATCTGGCTGAGCCTCAGTGAAGACAGGCCAGAGAAATATTTGTGGGAAGGAACCAACAGATATGGAGCAGGCTTTTCACAACCATTGCAAAGTTTAATTCCTCCTCAACACTACTTCCTTGAAGGGGACACCATCAGTTGTGCCCTTCTGAACAAATGACCTTAGCAGAGTGGGGCTGTGGCTGCCATCTCAGAAGCCAGTGGTGTTAGCTATCTTTGGGAGCACCTGTGAATTCTCCAGGCAGCCTCTTGCACTTGGAGACGCTCATTCATCTTAGTTTAAGAAAAAGAGATAGGAAGCACTTTTGCATGGACAGATCTCTCTCAGTCATTTTCAGGCTTAGTATGTGGGGCTTAAACTAGAAAATACTCTCCCATGCATGTTACAACTTCCACTGTCATATAATGCCAAAACAACAGAGGTTCTAGTCCTGAAATCAAGCTATTTCGTGATTCTTAGCACCAATCCTGACATTCAGATGTTGAGAAAGGTGAGAGAACAATTAACAAATGTAATCAGCTCTCAGTTATAGCATAGACCTTATCATGTGAGGTCACCCACTTCATGGCTATTTCTGAAGCAGCTTGATTCTAGCAGTAAAGCCACATTGGCCCAGTTCCTGCATTTCTACACCACACTCTATCAGCCAAGGGTTATGGCTGTAATCAAGCATATTTGCTTAAACTCAGTACTGCCTTGCCAGATCTGGTGACAGCAGCCCCAGGGTTGGGAGAGGAGGAGGAAGAACAGTGTCTCTGCACTATACATTGGGAAGAAAGCTGATTATCTTGTGTATAAGGCACTCTAAATGCATGTAAGATTTGCATGCTGTTGAGTCTGTTAATTATGCAAGCTGGAAAGTGTTGTGTAAGGGATAAGTGGTCTCCACACCACTGACTCTGTTCTTCAGCCTGCCTGCACCATGTGTCTGACACCAAACCTTTCTGTACTGCCTAGGCAAAATTTCCAATTACTCAGTGAGACCTTGCTCTCTGCTGCTGTGGTCAATGTAAAGCTGAGGAAGGTATACGTTTTTACCAGAATTTGACACACTTCCAGATTGTGCACGTTACAACACAAACAGAAATAATAGGCTGATGCAGAAATGATGAAGCAGAGACAGTCATCATGTATATGTAAGTGCATGTACTACATCTTCAAGGACAGGTTCAAAGTCAGTACATGGCTAGGAAATGGTACTACTAACACTGCCCCTGCAGACTTGCATAGATGCATTATAACACTACTCTTAATTACAGGATCACATTCTACTTTTTGTAGAGTCCATTCCAAGCTCCTGACACAGACAGTCAGAACAACTTTTGGCTTTAATACCTCCAGCACAGCTACTGACTCATTGCCTGTAATTGCTATTTTGGGAGAAGGGACAAAACTAAATACTCTGACATATTTTGAATGAGATTTGCATATCTTGTTTTCTTGCAATCCCTTTCAAAGGCATATGGGCCTAAGGCATTAGAATCTAATTTACAAATCTGTACTGCAGTCCTTCACCAACTGCACCCCATACATTGGCTCCCAGTACAGCTGTGATACTGTTACCGAAAGCACAGATTAGCTAGCAGGCACCAACGCTGAAAGAAGCACCAAACACTGTACTTTTCAGTAGCAGTTGAGTGCTGTGGTCCTTACCAATCACATAATTCAGAGAAATCAGCATAGGATTCCCTATGAAGACATGCATGATGGCCCCATGTGTGGGGAAAGAGTGACACTGACATGCCTCACACTAGTGCTGACAGACTGGTATGGGAGCAAAACAGATGTGACATGAAAGTCAGGACCTACATGTGCAGGTTGTTTGTAATTTTATAACCTTGCTTTTGGTATTTGTCTTCATTCTCAGCTCAATACCACATAGTGGACTAGGAGCCATTCTGCACAGCAACACTACTGCTATTTTTCTACTTTTCTCCTTTCAGACAAGGATGTCAACGTTATTTACAGAAGTTATTACTTTCTGCAGATATTTGCTTTTATTTGCCCTTAATAAGTGTGTTAATAAATTATTTTTACCTTATTGCTCTCTTTTTTTTTTCTTTTTTTAGGTTTTCAAATGGCTGATCCTTTTCTGTATCATACTGGAGACAGATCTGGATATGGGTGCCTTGGACATGAAGTACAAATTGAGCACATCAAGGCATATGTCTGTAGACCATCTTTTTTCACAGACAAAGCTGTGATTGTGATTCATGACATATTTGGATGGATGTTCCCAGACATTAGATACATAGTTGATTTGATTGCAGGTCATGGATACATGTAAATAACTGTTTTTCCTATCTTGCTCTTCAATGCACAGATAGATCATCAGGACCAAGGCTAGGCATGGCATTTGATATTTCCTATATGCATGCGTGTTGCAACCATACCATTTCAATCTGAGTGAATAAAAACACAAAGGGACAAAATGTTCCCATGAGGTTTCCAAAGCTGCTAAAACTGACCCATCAAAAATGGCTACCTGAGCACAAAGACACAAGGAGAGTCACAAAGTGTCAGTATTTATGCTTGCATGGCAGTATAGCTGATTAAAATATAAACGCTGAAATCTATCTTTAATTTGTGTAAGCTCTTCAGAACCAAACCTTTTAAACAGCTGCTTTAGTTTTTACTAGCAGAGATACATATATATGTATCTAGAATCAGGAGGGTTGCTTAATCACTTTAGTCTTAAATATGTCCAAGGGTGAGAGGTGGTGGGTTTTGGTTGGTTGGTTGGTTGATTTTTCCATAGAAAGACATATACTTTTAGCTCTGCTGATTGCCAGAACAAAGTGAGTAAAATATGATTCAGATAGTAACCATGAAAATGTGTACTCTGGAGTAAAAGACATTAGCAGACATTTAGACATCCACAAATTCTCCCAGCCTGGGTGTGAAAGTTGACTTGATTCCATGTCTCGTACAGAACTATCTGCCCAGACTTCTTCAAAGGGACAGACCCCTGGAAAACTACTGATCACTGGGCTGACTTTGCTGACTGGATGAAACACCATGATCCTACGAAAGTAGACAAGTAAGATACATATTTTTACTTCAGCTTTAAAGAACACCCAGCAAACAAGGGGAATTTGTATGAAAATATGTGTCACCTCACAGCAGGGCAAGCTAGCTGCATGCACAGAATTGCTTATTCTGGGCAGTTCTGTGGTTATGGGCACTGCCTTGGCTGTGATGAAAGGATCATCTGCTCTGTCCGTCACTCAGCTTATTGTCCCCATCTTGTTTTCCTGGGCCGCTTTCCAACTATTATACTGGCCATACAGGCTCACAGACAGTGTTTCAGGCTATCAAATACCCAGTACTCTCACCCACAAGTACTGATTCTGCCTCCAGTCCATCAAGACAAGGAGGAAAACTCTTCCACAACTGCCAGTTGTCACTTGCCCATCTTTCTTTCTGCCTTGTAGATAATAATAGGTGCAGATGATACTCTCCTGAGCAGCACTACATCAAAATTTGCAAGACTGCACAAAACCTAAGATACATGATGCACTATAGTGTTTTCCTCAATGGGAAATAGAGGGCCCACCATCTGCAGAGCCTAGCAGTCACTGTAACAAGGCTTCCCTGAATTATGGGAGGCAGTACTGTTTCTTCAGCATCTATCAATCCAGTGTAAAACTTCAGAAGATGATAGTGAGGCAGTGCCACTCTATTACTCAGCTATCATCTTGTTAGCTACAAATATTATTCTGGCCCTTTTGAGTGGTCTCAGCAGTCCCAGCCTAACTTCAACATGTCTCAGCAATGCTTTTGACCATATAGTTGCAGAAGCTGTGACCAAATCACTAACATCTATAAAAAAATGCAACTCCAAAGAGTGAGCAGATTATGCACACTGTCTTAAACAAGTAAGACCTTGAGGACATGTGTCCTTTGAGGGTTCATTTGTAGGTGCCCTCAAGGGCAGTTCCATTGCTCTTTCAGGATGTGTGCATCCTTGTGTTGGATGCATAAGGAATCCAACATACCTATGACTGACTTAGTTACCCTTCCAAACAAACTGAATTTGAAAGAGCCGAGGACATGACCTCCTCCTCATCTCACTTTCATACCATTTTTTTGTCAGCCTAACCAAAATTGTGATGACCATAATAATATACCTAATATTTGAAAATACAGTTATTAGTATGCACAGTCTGCATTTAAAATTAATTTAAAACTCTGTAGATGATAGAAAAGATAAAACTATTGAGACCTAAGAAGTTAGCAATTAAAAAAAAAAAACCTGCTCTGGCCTACATTAAACCCTATTATTTTTTGCATTATACCTCATGTTTAAAAAACATAGTTATACCAGCAATTTAATTTTGAGTAATTGCTACTTTAGTATAGTATTATTGCCTGTGAACTTGGTATAGGATATTTTAGTATTAACTCATGCAACAGGAATGACATACTCAGGATAAATCTTTATCTACATAGGTGGACTCTGTAGAGATAGCAAAGTGAAGCTTATCTATTCCTACAGTCCATAATGCAAGATGTTGTTCTACTTGCAGATATGTCTTGTCTTTAGTTGCCCTGTCCTAGACAAAGTGATTCAATTAAATATTTGCTTATTTTGAAACAAAGGAGCAGGTCACAATTCAGGTAAGTATTTAATTACCTAAACCTGTACTTCCCTAAACTAGAACCAGAGATGTTAACTCCTGTTTAAGAACATAAGTCACTGCTCTGGGCTGAAATGTGTTTTTTATAGGTATTCCCTGTTTTAAAAGATTGGGGGTGCAGACACAGAAAAATCCATGTATCTCTTTTCATTTTATTCTTAAATTGTAAAGTATTGATTCTGCAATAGATTCCTTAGTTTGCTTTTGTTTATATGTCTTAGGGAAGCTGATGTTGTCTTGAAGTATCTAAAGGAACAATGCGATGCAAAGAAGATTGGTATCGTTGGGTTTTCCTGGGGTGGAATGGCAGTACATCACTTGATGCTGAAAAATCCTCAATTAACCGCTGGGGTTTCCCTCTATGGTAGTGTAGAACACATGAAAACTTACCTGGGCTCACATGACTATGCATAGTGTGTAATTCTAGTTATCGCTTTGCAACAAATTCTGTAAATACTCAACTCAAAGATGAAATGCAGATTTTAATTATGGTTATTTCAACAATATGCTATATTGCTATAAAAATTTAATAGTTCTGTAAACTAGAAAAAATTGCTTCCTTTTGCATGGTAATTTTCTAATTTTTTTTTTTTTTAGTGCTTGGAGAGTGGGGAAATACATTTTCCAAATGCTTTTTTCTCTATCCAAATAGAGACTGTCCTGATCTAAAAAATGTGCATAATGAGTAAACCTAAATAGAAATTTTGTGGTTTAATTTGCCATTTATCTTGCAAGAACATTAACCTCACTAACAGGTTCTTTCTCTAAAACATTCTAGGAATAATTAGGGACTCTGAAGAAAGATACAATTTACTAAATCCCACATTTTTCATTTTTGGTGAGAAAGACCACACTATTTCTTATGATCAGGTAAGCTGTTGTACTGGAAATGCTTTTTCTTTTCCCATAGTTTTTTTATCCCACACAGAAACTGTAGCTTGTTAGAAACCACTTTCATATACAAAATGGACAGACTGGGTTGTTTTGCTTATATCTGAACTTTCCCTGTATTTTGCTCAGATTATTCAAAGCTTCCTTTTTGAGGTAAGAAATGCAGTGAAGACCAGTCATTGGTCTCTGAGTGGCTAGACAAGCAGAGTGTGAAACTGGGCAGGGAGATCCAACTGGTATGAGCCAAACACCTCAAAAACTTGGATACTACTGCTATAGGTGAGAGAACAGGTAGCTAAACCACTGAACTTGGAACTGGAAAAAAAGTAATTTCAGCTCAGTAACTGAACTTTCTGATGATGTGGGCCAATCAATGACTAATTGCTTGTGGTATGAAGACAAAACACACTGTGCCAGAAGAGTGGGCATGAATTTTGACTAAGATTATGACAACTTGTAGATTCTGTTTTGACCTTTGCCTGCCATCTATATTCTGATATAATCTCTATCATAAGCATACGTGAAAGGCTGGATAAATATATGGGTAAGAAACTGGTGCCCTCTTCTGTGCATAAACTCTTTTTCATCAGTGACAAGGATAACATACCACCTCTAGCATAGTTTGTTGTGCAGGAGTAGGGTCTAACTCGGGAATGGGTGATGTACTCTGGGAATGCAGAAGCCAATCAATATTTACTTCTGTGTTATTCAGCACATGTTGATCTGTACCTCAAACATGTGTCTCCTCTGCACAAGAAAACTAATCCTTCACTCCCTGTCTCCTTTTTATGGTGAAAGTGTCTTTTTCCAGGGGCAAAATTATCATAAATGCTTTTTTTTTCATCATGTGTTACACATTGAAAGCATACCTTTTTCTCCTGAAGTGTTCTCTCTGAGCTGTCTGTGTGGATTGTGTAAGAAAAATTCCTGTGTAAAAAAAAAAAAAATTAATTGAGCTTGCAGGGACTTTTTAATGGAAACAAGTACAAAAATGTGTCTACATGTGTATATAGGTACATAATCATATGATTAGTACTCTGTAAGCATGCGTGTACTTATTATCAAAAGATCATGCGCTGAGAGTCACTGAGGTTTAGGGAATATGTTCTTTCAAGATCAGAGTTTAAGATTAGGTTGTAAGCCCAAGTCTCTGAATAGAAATGCACCCATTCCTTTATAGCAATGAGATTTACCAAACTATCTTTGCAGCAATGTTGAGATTCTTAGACCTATCCTTGCTTTCAAAAAATGTTTCAGTCTTATATTCCAAAGGGGGGTTTTCCCATTTGCTAAACAACAGAACCTGCCTTAAGTGTGACAGTGGAAAAAAGACAAAGAAGTACAGATGTGAGAAATGCAAGTCTGGCAAACTTAAAAATACAATATAATGGAAAAAAGCTTTCTTTTACAGATAAACTTATTGGAGGAGAAGCTGAAACAGTACTGTAAGGTTGAATATAAAATTAAAGTTTATCCTGGACAAGTTCATGGTTTTGCACAATTGAAGCCAGAAGATATGAAACCTGCTGACAAACCTTATATTGAAGAAGCTAGAAAGGATATGATTGACTGGATCAAAATGTTTGTTTGACAAAAGCATGAAGTAACACTAGGCATCAAGATCAGTGACTTAATCTGAGAGAAGAAAACAGTCAAGGGAAAACTATTTGGGTTTGAAAATTGTTATAAACAAAATTAGGAACATTTTAATTTATAATTCTTAATTATTTTTTTACAAGTTTTATACAAGACTGTGAAATCAAAGTTGGACTAAAGGACAATTAGGAATTAAAAACTTGCTTGAACTTACCTTGTTTTGCATTTGCCTCATTATTCTGCTTTATGACATCAATCATAACGATACTTTTTTATCCCTTTGTCCTTGCTAGTGAGCATGACTTCATTGTGACTTTACCCAAGTAGTTTCAAGCTTTATTTTGGTGTGATAGTTGGTGGTTATATGTGCCAACATGGAAATACCCTGATCTTGCACACAGATGTTTGTTTTTTATTAACTACAAGGCACTTGTCTCAGGTATACTGCTGTAGTGGGCAGAATTTCCTGCGTGTGAAACAAACACTTGTTAAGCTATGTCACGTATGTTAAGGAGCTAGGAAAGAATGCTCTTGTTAGGTGGCACCCTCCCGGTATTCTCTTCACAATATTAACTGGGGCACTTCTAGTATTCCTCCATCTACATCAAGGAAAAAAATAACCCGTCCCTCCTGGCTGTGGAAGGAACCCAGCCATGAACACTATGGAAACAGTGGGTTTACTGTCCTGGTCCTAACTCGGGTGACTGGGCACAGGGCTGACGAATGGGTACTTCAGTCAGTCCTCCTTATACTGTTTGCTTTAAACACATTCCTTGGTCCTCTAAGTTCTTTCCTTTTATCACCCTTACGTCCTCCCAATTACACAATGTATAAACAACTATAAACATCCCTGTTTACTCTGTTTACTGCACTGACTCCAGTTTTGTTGACCTGCTGACTTGCTTTGGTTTGACTTGAATTTCTTGGGCAGCTGTATGTTTTTTAGTATATTATCAATTTCATTGCCTTGGTAATGACTTGGCAACTTGTGTTTAGTCAGAGATCCTATAAAGGACCCACATCCCTTTTTATTTTCTACACCATCTGTCATTTCCTCACCCCGTTGCCTTGCTAATATAGTCATAAATCAAGGCTAGCTATCTGTGTGGTTGACTTTCTCTTTGATAACAGGCATGTTTGTCAGTTTCACACATTGCTATCCTGTCAGTGTAACCCCACGGTCACAGTATGCTGCTTGTCTGCATGCCTCAACAGACTGAGTACGTTCAAGAACATCGCTGTGAGAACACGGTGATGAAGTTAAGAGGCGCCGTACCTACCGCAGCGCTCAGTTCTCAGGTCTGCCAGTCAGTGTCCATATGGCCAGTCAGCATGCCTGTCTGCACCTTTGGGCAGCTGTATCAATGGCGGAATGGCTATAGACATGGTGATGGAGGATGTTCAATAACGAGAGAGAAGAAAACTCGAAATGTAAAATACAAGCCTTGTGTTACAGCATGTCCTATTGTAACCACACGGGTGTCTCCAGGGCTGACCTTGCTGGGGCGCTGTGCTCCTGCAAAGATGGCAACTGCAGCCCCATGCACTCTGTTCCACTCACCCACCTGCCGAAATAGATTACCTCAAACACCGAGGCAGAAGGATTAAAGGAAAAAACTGTGCAGTATGAATGCCCTCCCTGGCCGTGCTTTTCAACTCCAGACCAGGTTTAACGCAGCTCTGGGCAGACCTGTGTGTCACCACCACCACCCCCCCCCCCAACCCCGCAGGACTGACCGCTTCTCTAAGAGGCCGGGGACCCCAGCCCTGCGGCAGCCGAGTGCTCAGGAAGGGATGGAGGGGAGACCGAGCCTCCCACAGCCACACGTACCCCACCCGCGAGGACGGCCCCAACGACTGCGCCCGGAAGGGCCCCTGCCCTCCGGCAGCTTGAGCCCGCTTGGCGCCCAGCCAGGGACACGCACCGACTGGGGGCCCTCCGCTGGTGCCCGGAGCCCTCCCGCCCCGGATCCGGGAAGCCGGCACCGCACTCTGCATGTCAGGCGCGACCTCTACCGGCTGCGGCCTCAGGGACAGGGGAGGCGGCGGCCGCAGCATCGGCCCACGGCTCCCGCGGAGGGGAGCGGCTGGGGCCCCTCTGGAGGAGGAAGGAGCTGGGCAGCCCGAGCGCGACGGGAGGGGGACTGTGGCCGGGCAGGGCCAGGGGGCTGAGGGGCCCCCGGCGTGCGGCCGCCTTCGCCTTCCGTGGGTCGCGGTGTCGGCGGAGGGAGCTCCGTGAGGAGGGCGCAGGCAGGCGGGGGATGCAGCCGGGGAAGTGCTGAGCTGTGAGGAGAGGATGGTTGTTTCACGATCGAGCTCTGGAGCAACCCGCCTAGAGAAGTGATGGAATCTCCCTCTCTGGAGAGTTTCAAAACCCCATCGGGGTAATGCCTGGAATAGCGCCGTCTGGTTTAGGAACTGTTCTGGCCCATGGTGCGGGGTTGCATAGGAGAACTGCCTTCCAGGGCAAACCTCAGTCCCCCAGAATCCCGTTGTTAACCTGGTGTATTGTGCATGATAACCCGAGCTTGTGTTAGCCCGTGGCCCCAGATGGCCATACCGGTCCTTAGATGTATCTTGTGTAGCTAGGTCTGGGTCTTGCATCATTCCTCTGTGCCCCCAGGAGAGCTCTTGACATCGCTCCTGTCTCCCTGTGCCTTCATGACCTCGGAAAAATCCTCCAAGTATTGTGGGTTTGTGAAGGGAGTGCCATATGTGATATTGTTTTTGTAGGAGATGAAGGGTCATTAGGATCAGGGTGTCTCCAGCCATGCTGGGGATCCCGGCTCTGCTGCTGTTCATAGCACATGAACACAGATGACATGGCTTCTGCGCCCTTCATCAATTGTTTCCAGGCTTGGCTGGTTGACCTTGGTGGTGATGGATGCCCTGACCTCATCCCGGTTCATTCCCTTCTGCCGTCATTGACCCTCCTCAGTGTGCAGGTAAGGAGGTTGCAGGCAATATGTAAGCTTTCCTCCAGGTCTTTAAAAGCAGTACTGAGCCAGGATTCCTCTCACCTGCAGAAAAGGGAGAGAAAGAAAGGAGGTGTTTTCTGTGCATAGCCCCTAGCTGTTCAGCCCAGATGTAACTCTCGTTTCGTTCAGGTCTGATGTAGATGGCTATATTAGCTAGTTTTTCAGCACTGTATTGACAGCACTGTGGTTAACAGCTTCACAGCCATACTCGCTCCAGGAAACATCCACAGGATGGGGCCTCTCTCCTTGATTGTTACGAAGAAGGCTGTCAGGGTGTTTGGCTCTAATTACAATAATCAACACTCAGAACGATCCCTGTCAAATCCGGCAGTAAAGTACACCACTGTCAGAGGAAACTTGGCTTCCTAGTTAAGTGGGAGCTTGTAGCAAGCAAAACTGCTGAATCTTGTTTCGCGTGCAGCAAGGCACTGCAGCCTGCTGGATTAATGTAAAAGATGGAATGTCCTTTGGACTGTAGTTGCTCAAAGGGAGCCCTCATTGTGATACAACATTGCCCCACCCTGCGTTTTATTTTGCTCTACTGAATGTTTATCTGTTTATCTCCTCTATGTGCCAAATTTGGTTTGCCTTGGGATAGCATTAAACTTGATAAGCCAATGATTTGGAAGCAGCATGATTTGAATTGTACCCTGGAGGTATTCTGTTTATGCTTGCTCATCATAAGTAAGATCTTTTCTCTCATATAAACAAATATAAATAGAGGTATACTAAACTGTTTAAGAGAATTTTAACCATGACAAACAGTATTAGTTCCAAACTGCTGAATTAATCTCCTTGCAACTCTTTTATCTAAACATGATTAGACAAATAGTACAAAAATCACATTAAAATGACTGAGCAAACTAAAACTCAGTTGAGAGGGGTTGGCCTTATGCTACCTGAATATATATCACTGAAGAAGTAGCATTCAAATAATAGCAGCTGGTAAATCTGACCTTTTGCCATCCCAGTATCACTAGTGCTATCACTAGTGCTCATTAAAGGTAGTAGAAATCTTTGCTATGGTATGGACTGTTCTGGAAACCATTTTTCCCAGTTTCTTCTCTGGCAGTCCTATCACTTGGGGATCAGAGCTGGCTGGATGAGAAAACAGGGAGTTGCCACGCTCATGACATGACAAGGGGGCTTATGCGATAGCCTAAAACTTGAAATGGGGAACGGTGAATTAAGGCCAGATGTGGGCTGTAAATAATGTCATGTGTGGCCTTGATAAAATGTGAGAGTGTCTAGAACTGTGAGCCTGCATAGTGAGTAGCTCTTTGGAAGAAGGCAAGGCATGCAGCATTTTGAAGTCATGCTGAAATTCACAGTTTGTAAAGCTCTGAAAAAAAAGTGAAAAGAGATGGCAATGCATCTGATTTCTTAGGTGGGGATCAAACCTGGGTAGTTGATATGCTAAAAGTCTTCGTGTCTCAGCTGCAACAAGTTTGAACTGTGTTTCATTTGAAGTTTTATAAATGCAAAGAACTGATCTCGCCTACACGTGCAAAGAGCTGCTCTAAACTGCAAATGCAATCAGAGAACCTTCCGCTCATTAAACTTGTGGTGGTTGAATTATATATAGGTGAAAATTAGAATTCAGTTTAAAAGTAATTTTTAAAATCCTAGGTTCCTGCAATCTTTATTTAAATGTATTTTAGCTGTACCAGACAAATTCTGTGAAGTGTGGGGAGAAAAACGTGTTTTGCTCATGGTCTGCTCAGCATCTCTGTTAATCCCTTCTGTGAACTATTCTTACGGACTTTTGAAAATTAGTTTAATTAGTATTTTTCACCAATCATTCAAAAGCCTGTTCAAAGGCTGTGAATTTTGTCATGTTTGTGGAGAGAGCCTCAGTAGTACAAGATGATTTACCCCTTTCTATGAATAATTCCTAAACATTCTTCAAGCCATTATGTTTTTTAAAATCTTATTAATGCAGCATTTTGGTTTTGTTCATTAAAATCTGTCAATACTCTTATTTATGTTTAAACACAGATTGTGTGGTTTGTTTTTTTTTTTTAACAGATTTATTTTAAAAGAACCAAGTATTCTGCTTAAATAGAAATCAATTTTTGTTGGCTTTCTGCTCACATGAACTGCTGGTGAAGGCAAACAGTCGGCAAACACTATGGTAGAGTTGTTCTAAGCTGGTCAGTTAGACCAAGTATGTTTGAAGTCTCACACCTTTGCCTGAGGTTTGTAAAAGGTTCTTCTGCCTCACTGTAATGCTGGCAAAGTTGCAGCCAGTCTGACTGGAGAGCTAAACTCCAACTGCATCTCTTGGAGGTTATGTGGAGATTGACTGCAGAAGGTCAGGAGACAAGCTTTGCTCAAAAGAGACACAGTTGAGAGGTGTCCTTAAAGGAGGATGGTTCTCAGTGA